TGTTTACCTGTGAATCAATATTTTCGGGTGGTTTGCCCCCGGAAAATAACGAGTCAGCGGAAGGTAAGGCCACCCCACTTGGTCCTTGCCCAAGCTTCTTGCCTCCCATGTTTGAGCTCTTTTGGCGATCCAACAGAACCTTCAGGGACTTGGTCTTGAACTCGGTGGGCTCTCCGCCAATATCTTTTGTAGACAGCAGACTACCAGCCACTCGAGACACCAGATTCAATGAGGATCGTGCTCTTTGCTTACTCTGTCGAAGAGAGAAAGTGGATTAGACCTTCTTAAAAACTTAGAGGGGCAAAATTATAAAATAAGACTTGTAAAGGAATTTGTTTTGCTTGTACTGTCCAAGTCTGTGCAACAGAGCCATGATCATCTATTCCATACAACCTTCACTATTCCAAAACTTAGCCTCAGGCTGGTTAGCTCAATGGATTTTGCACTAGATTCAGACCAACACTTTGTTTTAAATTCGCAATTTTTAGAGTCTATTTAGGTCACTTTTGCATAAGAAGGAGAAACCATACGCACTTTCTCGAAGGACTTCAACTGCCCGGACTTTTGTAGCATGTAAAAGAATCACCAGGACGAAGCAATCTCTTTCACTGACTACCCCATCCCTAGTGTGTAGCTCCTAGCAACACTTAAGTTGGAGCCCAGCCCTGTTGTGTTGGTAAACCTGGTAAGACCAACGCAACCAGTGTTCTATTCAATAAATCCCCTCACACAAAAAACATTTTCCATGGTCTATACTCTTATGGAACACGAGAAATGACGTCGTTAATTATTTATACAACAGTCGATTATCAATGATTTTGCATATAATTGATACTACAAAAATTGAAATTCAGTTCCACAGTTTTGTTGCATGGTCGTTAACTGAAGTCAGTGTGTTGATACTTAAAATGAAGGTTGTTTTGTAGCTTTGCCAGCCTTTCAGCAGACTAAATTTGTCATAAAAAACCGAATGTAAAATTTTCGAGAGGGTGAATTTTCCTTCTTACTTTTTCTTTCATCGCCACTTTCTCAGCTTCATTACTACCCTTTGGCTTTATTTCATCTCTCTCTACAGTGTCTGTCTGGGCTTCACTGGACGCAGCGTCTAGCACGTTACCGATACCACTGAATAGACTGGTACCTATACTCTCTATCAAGTCCGAGTCCACGGATCCACTTGAAAGTTCAGTGGAAATAAGGTTGGCAGCATTTCCTAACAAGCTCAAGGCATTGTCCTGTAATTGAGACATCAACACAAAACCACATGCATTTACCTTTTATAGTATTAATTTTTTCTTATACTGAATTAACCTGTATATGGAAAGAAATACAATACTATAGGAAAATTCATTACCTGAGCTGGGAATTCCGCGTTAAATTGCATGTGAAAACCGATGTCGCACGAGTCACGAAGCTTAAAGTCATCTCTAGGTTATGTTAAAGACAACGCATCTTTCCGGAAAGGTGCTTACTGACGGACTCCCAAGTGGAAGGAAATCAATAAGAAATTTCTTTAACTTGGCAAGATTTATGTAAAATACAGAATTGATGTTTGTCAGTGTTCATCACTTTTATTTACCGGCTTTCAATAACCCTCTGAAGAAACATGAGCACTAGATAACAATAAAGCATTACGGTATTGCGGAGTAACGCGTAACTAGAAATTTGGTGTATAACCGCGACTAAGAACCTGCTGGTCTTCATAGAACCTGTTAAGCTAAAATGTGCCAGTTAGGCCCCCTCTATACAAGAACCTGTTTAGCGTAAAATTTGAAACAGGGTCTTGTTTTCTAAATAATCTCTTTAACAATTCTGTGCACTTGGGCAAATAAGCAGATTCAACATTTAGGATTCTCTTTGGAGACATAGGTGCCTTATTACTCTAAATGCAATTGTAATGGCATACAGGTTTTGCCTAAGGAATGAGCTGAATACCACCAAATAATCTTAGCTACAATGTATTTTTTGCTTCAGAAAATAAGAACCTATTTAAGAACGTAAATAGCCTAAATTTGTGTTAATTACAATCTATGTAACAACCAGTGTTTAGGGTAACTTGGGGAAATGCAGGTTCTTAGGCGCGAGTTTTACCTGTATGTATTGAGGTAGTCTTTTTACGTAAAGCCGCAAAAACATCATACCTGAGAATCACTCGAAATCCCATTGTCGCTATCTGTAGCTAGAGCAACAACTCCCACAACCATTGTAGCTTGCTGGAGACTGCCTATTTTTACTGTCGTCATCTTTTGGAGTAAAGCGTTCTTAAACTTAATAGAGGAGAAAGCTACGTACAGTTACAAAAATAAATTTACACAGTTTCCAATAATTCGGGGCTGCAACATTACTGAAAGAAATTGAGTTTCTCACAGCTTACTAGGATTTGATATGCATGTTACGTTTCTTCTTTGTATTTTTCAATGGCCTGTGAGTTTCGACGATACTTCATGATACTTTTTTTCTTTTTTTTAGCTCTCTTTGGTAGCCAATATATTGGATTAGCTTGGATTTGACACGGTAAGTTTTTAACTCCCTTTATACGAATACATCTATGCTATCTGCCGATCGCTTTAAGATAGCGTCTCATTAAATGAAAATGTGCACACAGGTAAATAACCCATTCATAGCATGGAATATCATCCCCGCGTTCAACTAACGAAACCTATCACTGAAATAATCAATATTGCCTTATTAACGTTCCGAGGATCGTGTTAAATTACAACTTACCGAGTCGCCAGCAGCAGACAGAACAGAAAACGCTATTTGCATGGCCTTGTTGACATCGCCTGATTCTAGGAGATTATCCAACTTTCTCTGAGAATCTTCTACACTAGAAGCCTTTGGTGGCCAAACCTGTGAAAAGTTGAAGGTTAGCTTGCATGAAACCAATGCTAAAGTATGTGCAGTAAAGCGGAATTCAATTCTTGAATGGGCTTGAAAAAATGAAAAGTTGAAAGTGCTGTCGAAGCTAAACACGGGGGGATTCTGGAGGCATCAATTCCCACAGCTACCTACGGGTATGTACAAGTCTGAATGAGGTAAGGGGAGTCACAATATGCTGATACATTCTTAGCAGGGCCATTATAACGGGGATCAAGTGTTACGCGTGTCCTACGGGTATTTACCGTTATTTTGCGTAATAAATACCTGCGCAGTGATAAGCTCCAACGAAGAATCACCCAAGGAATCTATGATTTGTAACTTCAGATAAAGTGAATAGTTTGAAGCCTTGCTGCCTTCTGGTAACTCGGTTGTCACATTTGGCTGCCATCCTGTGTAAAATACTACGATGCCAAAATTCGTTTGATATGAAAACTGGTAACTTAGTGGTGTATCAGGATCCGACCAGTTCACACAACTGATTTTAAACTCAGTTTCGATGGCATTGCCTATCCTTGGCTCCATGAAACATCCAGAATTACTATCTCGCCTCGACGGCGGTGAATTGGTGCGAAAAATGTGCTCGTCTGTTCTAAAGCTATTGCCGTCTATCCACGCAATAATATGTATTTTGTAAGTCTTGTTTCCCATTAACAAAGACCTGTTTAAAGATGAATCCCCTCCATTGAAGATTAGATTTGGACCGTTCAATGATGTCAACGCTATTGTGTAGAGATTATTGATCTCTCCCCAAGACTTGTGAGAGCCATTTTCAAGACGAACATATAGAGACCAGCTGTAATTTTTTATAGCAGAACAAGAAATCCCTTCACATTGGGTGTCGAACATAAATTTTTTCCTGATGCTGACCTTTTGCCCACAGTTTGCGACACATCTGAGAAATAGAAAGGAAAAGTTAAATTAAGATGTACTGTACTTATAAAAATTTTGGCTCCTATAACTAATGATTGAAAACGTCTTCGTCCTCTAACTATCTGCAATTAATTTGCCTCCATGAAATTGATGATCAAATTGATTCCACTGCTTCATTTTAACTTAACGTACAACAAAAGTCCATTGTCCAATGTGGTCAGAAGAGTGGTGAGTTGGTTTTTACTACCCGTCAGGTGTTGTTGAGATATTCTATTTTTGAGTGGCTCCATTTATTCTCTCTCAGACATGTTAAGGCATGGGTGACCTCGTAATTTGCATAATTTGGCGAAGTGGCATTTGAAACGGATTGTTTTGATCAGATGTCATGAAACTTGGCAAACAGTTTCAGCTCGGTAGCCTTAACAATATGTGACATATTCATTGGTGAAATATCCCTGCATGTATGTTTAAGTGGAGCAATGATTACGAAATAAAGAAAAACAGGTCACGTGACTTATAAAAGACTTTAAAAACTCTTAATAAAAATGCTTTAATCCACCCTGTAAGACTAACTGACAATCCAGACAGTTTGCCTGACCATTTGATGACAAGTATTTTTAGCTTGAAGTTGAACAGCCTTGCCCCGTTTGAGGAAACATGGTTTTGTGACTTCATGGTCCAGGGAATGTCACGTGATGCTTGAGATGAATTTTTTAAAAATATTTTAGTGAGATATATCTTATCATATCTTTGTGGAACCCTTAATTCGGATCCTTCTGTGTTATTGAAAAGATCGTTGCTTTCTCTGTGGGGGTCTTTTTAGCCTTTCAACCATGCCTTGAATTGCCTGAGCTTGGAAACGTTCCATAAATTTCTCACGTCCACTTGCACTATTGATATCACAAGAATATGCCAACCGATGACGAGTGGGGACAAGACATTCCTGTTTTGAAGCTTGAAAAAACGCATACCCTTTGGCACCTCACATGACTGGTTTATAAACCTATTAATCTGGCCCCAGTTGCTCAAAAGGTGGATAAAAGAGTTATCGACTGGATAAATCACTATCTTGCGTGGCAGGCGTTTGAAAGGGAAGGGAAAGGGAGTTTTGGGAAAGGGAGTTTTAGGCGCGAGAGAAACGCGAGGGGCGCGCGAGGAAGGAGGGAGGGAAACGCCTGCCAGGAAACCATTGTTTTTCTCGTTATTAACATCTACCAGGCGAATGTTAAAATCCTGATTAGTCAAAATTTGATAAGATCTAAATAGCGTGTTCTAATTAGTCACCTACATGTCATTCAGTTACTTGAGTGTTACCAATCACAACCAAACATATGTCGTTAGTGAAGCGTGTTGAGATTTCTCTACGGGAATTCATCATTAGAAGGCATCGATTTCAGCTTCAGAGGAGAGTAGAAAAAAGCAGTTAAAGAACCGAATGAAGGAAAAGGCCTGTCAGCAGATGAGGTTTACTGACTGGTTCTGAAAAGTATTATCCCCCAACGGCTTGTCGGTTTTACTTGCCAGACGAAAGAAACGAAAAATCATGCTGCCTGTGTGCTTGTTATCTGCTGTTTGACCCACGTTATCAACGCAAGATAATTGAAGACGAAGCGATGTATAACTTTTGGCGATTTTTGGTCGAGGAATTCTTCTTGCCTGTTATAAAACCGCCAGGAACTTACTTTAATAATAAATTGTTGCCTTCTTGCAGATCTTCGAAGTTCAGCTCTTCTTTCCTTGCCACCAGCGTTCTAGTGTGCTCGGCTGGATCCAGTTCGTCCTGATAGAACCTCAAAGAGTGCGTGACGGCAAAGTGTTTTAATTTTTCTTAGGCAAACATTGCAGTGAAAGTTGTGAGGAGCCGCTACATTTCTTATTAAATGGTTTTCCAGTCCGATTCCTTCAGCAACAACTTGAATAGATTTATGCTGGATTTTATGTAACTCGGCACGGGTCGTTGCAACTTTCAAGGAAGATTCCTTCGATGGACGACTGCGTTTGAACTTTTTTGTAGTACTTTTACTTTAGATTGCTTTAGGAAAACAAAAGAAAAACAGTGCGAGAAATACGACTAGAATACGTGCATCGCGGCCAGACTTATTTGACAGCTAGTCATTCACAGTTGCGTTATTTTTGTTATTTTTTTAATTAGTAGGCGGGATGGCGAAAACAATGGCTTCCTTGCAGGCGTTCCACTCCTCCCTCCTCCCTCGCGCGTGGTCTCGCGCCCTAATTCCCGGCTCCTTCTCTTTCGAACGCCTGCCACGCAGGCTAATCACTATCCAGTGGATAACGCAATTGGTTTTCCTAAATGACTTAACAATAACGCTATCCAGCCTTTGAACAGCCGGGGTCTAGTCTTAAGGGGGATATCTCCTTGGGCGCACATGCTTAAGTAAAATAAACTTTGTTGTGGATAATGTAATAAAAAGGGATCCTTCCTTACTTTATGGCGAATGAAATGTTAGTGTCTGCACGAAGCTTGTGGGATGCAGTTGCAAATCTGCGTCCTTGAGACACCATAACTTGAAACACGTAAGTCCTCATTGAGAGCAACAAGTCAGCCTCAAAAACTAGATTTTCATTTGAAGTATTCTTGATAAGATTGCCACCAACAAAGCACTCTGTGGTATTTTTGTGGTTCTCGCCGACTGAAGTAAATGGAAATAATAAATTGGGTGAAGTTGAATCTTCAACCCAACAAGTCCAGAAAAAGTTCTTTTTTTCAGCTTTAGCTCCAAAAGAGTCTCGCAGTATACCCTTGACATCTGAGAGTAATTGCACAGGCTGTCCACCTTTTATAAGTAAATCTGGCCCACTAACCGTGACAGTAAGACGCGGTAAGATCTTGATAAACCCGTAGTCGTACGAAAAGGGTGTACTGAACCCTTTTGGCTTCACGGAAACCCGCACTAACGTGAGACTCTTAGACATCTCCTCAGAGTTTATTACAATGTTCGTTTCATTGTTTAGTTTCAATTCGACAGCTGTATAGAATTGACCAGTTGCCTCATCAATGGTAAAAATCTCCCATTTAAAGTCGTATTTCTTGGAGGTGGAATTAACAAGTCCACTTTTCACAGATATCCGTGCCTCAACTCTGTAACGCTCCTCTGTTAGTATCTCATTTGCGGTCTGTAAATTTTTGCTTAGATTCAGCGAAACATTGGCAAGAAGGTCCACTTCATTGGCTGAAAATATTGAACAATTATTGAATGAGAATGAGTATCATATAATAAACTATTTGGAGTCAGCTGGAAATCGGTAGCTACCAAAGTAGCATGAAACGCACAGTAAGTTCCGGAAACTGTATTGAGACAGGTATGACACCACTTAAAATTAGTTACTTAAGTTGATAGGTACCATTTTTACCTGCGTATTGAATTGTGAAGAAATTTGTGTCAAATGAAGTGTCGTGTCGAGAAGATATTTCATCGATTAACTTGTTAAGTATATTTGCCTGACCCTCTCGGAGACATTCTATCAAGACCTGAGCTTTTACCATTGCCCCATCCTTTTCTGATTCCTGTGGGCTGTAAAAAAGCGAGACCTTAGTTTGGAATAAAAAAGGTAAGAGAAACACAACGACAGCAAAAAGCCAAAAGACGAGGAAGGAAACAAATTCTACTGTTTTCTGACAATACTCCTGTTTGAGGAAATGGAGAAAGCAAGTTTATCCCGAGAGCATTACTCGCACGGGCCACTTAAGTAGCGTTTATCACAAACCGATTACAAGCGTGCCAAGTTAATCAAGTACTCAAATAAACGTACTCTTCGAAAGGTAAGAGGTATCACGATTGTCGTTGGCAGAAAAAGGGCGAACGACAAACAAAACCACGAATTTATAGCTCTCCTTGAGTGTGGTTCTCGATGCAGCTTGGACCACACAATACGATAAGGTCTCGCTGCAACAGTCATACTGTCAAACCCACAATCGCCCTAGGCAAGGAAGAGGCCATTCTTTTTAAGATAAAAGGAATAACAAAAAGAATAATACGATCAACAAAAACAGGTGTAAAAGCTAGATAAAACAAACAACATGTAGGGAGGGGACAAGAATAAGAAACAAAGGAATACAAATATGAATAAAATACAAAAAGCAGTGATAGAAATGCTAGCACTGGTTTATTTTACGATATACTTGAAGTCTCTCATGCTACACAACAGACATCTCTTAAGGTAACGGAAATGCTGATCGAATTATTATAATACATAGATTTAGCCAGAGCTAAAGTCGAAGCTCCCGTTTATTCATTTTAAATTTACTTCGGACAATGGACTTAATTGAAACCATTGCAAAGAAATCCACAAATCCACAAATCTATACTTAACTTTAGGGGAGAACCATATGACTGAAAAACATAAACCTTAGCTTGCGATCAATTAAAAGCTAACAACTGGTCGGAGGAAAACTTCAAAAAGAAAAAAAAACACGTAACCTCGATGAGTTGGCACCTGAGCCGGCGATACGGTCATGTGACTCTCGTCAGCGGACACCCTGTTTTGAGAGCTGCCAGTTGACCATAATATGGATATCTATTATCAAGTTAAACACATGTTACAGGCTCCCACACTAGCTAGAAAGTTTGACATTTCACACTGGTTGCTCAATGGTGCGGACGGACAGAATACGGTCACGAGATTACCAAAATTTCTCGGATGGATAGATTACCAAATTTTCTTAGGTATGGGGCCCGTTATTATACTTAATTTAGCATTATTTTATACTGAAAATCAGTAGCTCATAGTATGGGGGTTCTGATCACATGTATTAACTGTAAAAATGTTAATGAAATCCAGGCTACTTAAGTTGTAATTTAAGGAACACAATTTTATCACGATTACCTCGATCTATACGGGTCTCGACCAAAATAGAAATACAGTGGAAGCTCTCGTAAGCGGAAACCCTCGGTACTCGAAAAAGGTGTCCGTAACTAGAGCTGGCCGTTTACAACAATGGTGTTCGTTTATATGCAGCTATTAGATGTGTAAGGGTTAAATGGTCGCCAAAGAGAGCTTGCCCGGCTACAAATAAATACTGGGAATGCAAAAAAAAAAAAAACAACAACTGTTTCTCAGTGTTTGGCTATACGGTTGTTTTGACGACGTTGTAATTCAGGGACAAGGATAAAAATTACGGGGTGTGTTTCGAAGTGTAACCGAATGTGTATGTGAAAGAAACAAACTCTGAAACTGATATAAATTAATTGTGACGAGCAGCCAGCGATATGAAAAAGCCGCCCGCTCACAAGAGTGTCCGTTAAGTGAGCTTCCAATGTGTATTTAACAAAACCTGAAAAAGGCGGATCCAAGATAAAGCCATTGCTAATGTTGAAGATTATCAATGTGTTAGCCAAATGTTATCAGAAACGTTTCTTTTGAACTGTTTTCGCCTAATGGAGAGGAAATACTGAGGAAATATGGGTTCAGCCAATAATGTCATCAATATGAAGTCATGATGACACCCAATTACGTCATCGTTTTAATCAAGTTCTACATAGATGTTGACGTCGAGGCTGTAACATGGGCGGTTTTACAGTTATAGAGGGGAAGCCTCAGAAAGGCCTCCCTCCCAGTTAGCACAAACAAAAGCCCCATCTGTATAGGATTACCGGTAAGGAACAGAAAAGAGATGTGATGACGTCACAAAAAACAAATTTTTGAAATTATGGGATTGGTTGGCATATTTAGAAAGAGGAAGATGAAACTTGCCAAAAGTCAGCCTGTTGGAGCAAACTGGTGAAGAGATAGAAGCAACGTTATGCTCCGACGACTCCTTATGAAGCCTTCTGTGACAGGCGTGGATTGTTAACGGTACGATCTAAGCCAATTTTAGAAGGATTTGCATGGAGTCATCTAAGCAAACCGGTACTTATATCTACCACCAATTTGCACTAACGGGCTGATTTTTGCCATGGGGGCTTTTTTCATCTTGTTCTTTCTGAGTATGCTAACCAATCTCATGATTTCACAAATTTGACTTTTTGCTTTGGACAGGGCACAAAGTCACAGGGTAGTAACATCAATTGAGTTTTCTCCTCTTACATGGTAAGCTTTGGATGTGTCATGTTGGTATGAAGGGTCCACCGCGACATATCTTTACACAAAAGGGGAGAAAGACAATGTGGGGCTTAACTGTCTGCCTTTTTGTTTGTGATATTGGCTAGGAATCAAAGACTGACTCTTCCCTTGGGGTGTCTTACGTATCGTCGTACTTTAATTCCTGATGCTAAACCAACAATATTTGCCAAAGTCTCACCTAAAATGCAGCACTCGAGTACTCAAAAACCCGAGAATGTTTTTCAGCAGATTAGTGACCTAGAAAAGATTTTGGTAATGTTGAAAAGGTGAGTTAATTGTATATTCTGTAACAGCAACAACTGAAAACCAACTCAATTTTAATCCCATTCAGACCGCTCTCAAAAAAGTTGAATAAATTCCAAACCGTCCAGGCTATGACCGCGAATTTTAATAAAATTTATCTGGAATAATTTTAAAGTCGCCTTCAAATGCACGTCAACAGTGACGTTATCATGGCAACCGATTGTTGACAGGCATGTTTTTCAAAATTTGCATTTTTCTGATAAAAAAGTTTTTTTCTTTTTTTACTTGTTGGGTTACTACATAACACTTAATTTAGCATTCTTTTATTGAATTAATTTGAAATGTCAATGTAATTCAATCTCTTTAGTGGCTAATTTGGGGAAAAAAGACATGAATTTAAAGTGACAAGGTAGAAGATGCTTGGTTAACTTCATAACTTGGAGATTTTTGTTTCCTAAGCATCCTTTTATACACAGATCAAATTATCTTTCGCTTTCTCTTTACCTTGATTTATACGGGTTTTAGGTAAAATGGAATACATTTAAGTAATTCAAAATGACAGATCCAAGAAGGCAGATCGTTCCAGTTTCTTCTTTAGGTAATTTATGACGTCATTATGACATCACTAATATGGTTAAAGATTATATATGTGTTAGTTAACTTGTTGGCTACATCAGACACTTTACTAGTTAAGGTTTTTTGCTTTATGGCTTCTTTGAGGGAAACTTTGGGTTGAAGAATATGAAATCATAATGACGTCACATTTTACGACATTATGTCAATCGAGTTATGTCTAGATTTTGGAAATGATGAGCACATTATTCTGTGTAACTTTGGTGGCCGTATTATGAGCGATTTGGAAGTTATAGAGGAGCGCTTCTGAAGTCCACTCCCTGGTCACAGGAAACAGAAAATGCCCAGTCTGAATAGGGTTAATAACACTTCATCTTTGTCTTAAATCATACCTCTTGTTCTACGCCAGCTGCAGTTGAGCGCGACTTACGATGGTCATCCCAAGATTCCAAGTACTCGATTGTGAAAGGTGAATTAGCTAGCATTAACCAGACCACGACGTAGTAATCTACAAACAAACATTCAAAATTGTTCGACAAAAAGGCCCAGTTCAACAATCTTTAAACGCGACCTATTATTTACTGTATTGGTCACTTTAAGATTCCAGATAATCAGTTTTGTTTTAGACAAAGCATTAAGTAGAGTACGTACGTACTTGTCTAAACACAGGGCAGCATCTTATACTTCTGAGGCACCTTATGTATTACCACATTGTCAGTAGAATTAGAGGCTTGGTAACCAAAAGAGACTGTGCTCGATAAAAACGACCAGCACCAAAGCTTGTCTTTTTTTTGGAGGGGGGGGGGGTGGGGGGAGGGCAGCGAGGTGTACAGTCATTCAGTTAGTAAACTGAAAAGTCGGCATTTACGCATTTACGCAAACGTGTAACTGAGCGAGTGTTTGGCATTGAGAATTTTCAGTCACAAAAAGACGTTCACCCTATTCTGCTACGTACCGGCTATCTTATGGCAACAGCAAATAAACAAACAAAATGTTGTCTAACCTGAGTGACAGCCATACAGCTCCATTCTGACAGCGAAGTTGTTTGTCCAGCTGATGGGTCTTAACATGACACTTGAGGCTTTGGCTGGCAGAATTACGCGGTTTAGTTGTATTGTGTTACTGTCGTGATTACCCATAAACATCTGCGGGGAAAATATTGTTTTAAGTTCTTCAACTGAACGTCAAGCAAACATTTTTTCCTTCCTTTAGTTATGCACTGCTACCCGTGGTAATGATCGTTCACACTCTTTTAAAATTGTACGAAGGGTACTAATTGAATCGCTTGAAAATTTCTCTGTTGTAATCCTAACATACTCACAAAAATGCAAAAGAATAAAATTGGGCAATGCAGGACTGGTTGAAAGTTGGAGACCATAGGCCCTCTAATCTGTATAGGTAAGGTAATGTCGAATAATAAGTTTTTCAGAAACAGAAAAGAACAAAGCAAACAAGCAAAACAAGAGACTTCTAAGAGCGCGTTGCGGCTTCCAAATCATTAACTTGCGTTTTTTGAAGAGGAAGTTCTAAGTGTAGCAATTTAGGAATAGTTATTTAAATTTGAATGTCCATCTATTTCTCGCCAATCGTTTCGCCATGTTTTCTCTTTTGATTATGTTATAAAAGGAATGGCAAACGTTCCAGCTGTGCACTATCGAGTTATAGATGCATTTGGAAGGTTTGCTAAGCACTCAAGAAGTTAGAGTTGCTCTCGGCTACGCCTCGAGCAACTCTTACGCTTCTTTAGTGCTTAGCAACCTCCCACGTGCATCCATAACTCGATGGCTGCACGCTGCACGTTTACCATTTCTTAATTTTCAGTCAGTCAGAGGTTAGAAGTTGCTTGCAACACTTTTCCCGCGCTCGACGCCGATACATTCGCGGCAACCATCGACAACTCGTGTGCTTTAGTTTTAAGAATGCAATATTCTGTCAGTAGAAACTCTGGTAGTACTTAGCAGGGCACAGCTTTATGTCATGGACGTTTAGAGTTCTGACTCCGGTTGTTTAAAGAGTGAATAGAGCTATCCACTGAATAAATTTCTATCACTGAGTGGATAACACAATAGTTTCCCGTAAACCGTATTCACTGGAGAATGATTTACCCGGTGGATAGCAACTATCCAACGTTCGAATAACCGGGGCTAGCTGAGGATGGCCAAAAATACGCGATACTCTAGAACATTCCTCGTTCGACAAACAAATTCTCAAAATAGCTCTTGGTTAAATTTATTTTCACCCTGAAAACAAATTTAACCAAAGGCTATTTTGAGAAGTTGTTTATCGAACGAGGAATGTTCTAGAGTACTGTGTATTTTTTTCCATTCTTAGATAGTGCCAATCCAGGTTATCCTACATTTTTAAAGCTATAGTCAAATCAATTTCTCTTTCTATAACCAGAGATATTTTTCCCAGCTTTGTAGTAAAAGTAGGTAGTCTTGAAAGTACTTTTCAGTGGAATGGAAAATCAATTGAGATGTAACAGAACTGAACAGGACCCTCAGCTTCCTTTTTTTTATAATGGAGGAAAATTCTGTAAAAAAGTTTGTTGTGAAAAAAGTCGTCAGGTGGCCGCTAGGTGCCTATTTTCCCACATAATGTTTCGTCTTCAACCTTTGTTTACCACAACAATATTCTAGATACTACTTTTTTCGGCGCAAAAAAAAAAACACATGGCATGATATATTTACTTATTTTCAGGGCACGAATTTTATGTCCCATTGGATTGTGTTCATAGGTTCGATTTTGTGAATCATGTAGAAGTCTGACTTTTTTGTGGTTAATATTCTTTGTTTAAAGGAAACTGAGGTTCTCCATGGGGTGCGAAAGTTTCTCTTTTCAGTGTTATACACAATTTCGATTTCATTTTCAGTCATTTAACTCTCACGATGTTAATCAATAAGATAATTTTCAAAAGTATCTGATAATTATGAATGTTAAACATTAGGCCAATTGATAAACACTATATGAATCTGGAACAAAACACATTTGATAAAATTGCACCTGCTTGGTTGCACCAAACATTTAACAATTAAAGATAAAATGCAGTATTAAAAAAGATTACCAGAAGTTGTACTAAACTCTGACTCTTATGAGAGGCATGACGAGAGACGCAAAATGAGTTATTCGTTTCTTCTAATCTATATAAAGAGAATACTGATTTATTTAATTAAGTCTTTCTTTTAATGAAACTTTGTTATGAAAATTAATCAATGGCTGATTTCGCATCATCCGGTGATGCTAACTTCTTTAGCCTATAACTTTTTAGCTTGGTAATGCAGTGAAATGCTGAATTTTATAACTCTCAAATTAACATCAATAAGGGCCACATAGTGTGGCCTTAAAGTTAACTGTGCATATTAAAGATTGAATTTTGTGATTTGAACAGGGATCACTTCTGATTTAAAGGACTTTTGCCAATCATGTTCTCGAAACGTATAAATAAGAGCTAGAGAAATGCTAAACCACAATTCGAAACCACAATCAATCAGTAAGTTTATATTGGGTCAAAGCATGGATAAGTAATTTGGGCTAAAACTGAGCAGATAGTTTTTCCAGGCACAAAATGTATATAAAATATCGTGTGAGCACGCCGAATAAAAGAGAGAAAATAAGTGGAGCGACGGAACTCGCACATTGTACTCACCTGTCCAGAAACCCGCTACATAAATTATTTGATTCAAGGAATCGTCCCGGACTTCTTATAAGGCAGAGTTCAACTGAAGCTGTTCTATAGTTAGACCTAATTATCTTTATTTGAATACACAAGATTTCGCCTCAGAAGCTGCAACCAAAACGTTATTCTGCAGAACACGCTCACGCCCTTTGAAGAGACTCTTAGAGTGGCTCATTAAGTTATTCCGGCTATACGCATGCACTGCAGCAAGTCGATTGGTCTGGCGTCGCCGGCGTAGTGTAGTGTCAACTGTTAGTGGCTAGAGTAATCTCTGCTTTTATATTTTACTTTAACATTTTGTATATTTCTTACTTGAAAACTGCGATCCTAATTGTACTCATCAAAAGCGAACAAAAAAGTTTGAAAAAGAATTATTTAGAGTGTCGGTTGCAGTAACAGGTTTAGTTAGTGAGAGTTAACACATTGTGATATAACAGACCGGTCGCATTCGATCCCTCGAGTCTGGATTAAAGTGGTCTGGAGTTAAAAATGTTGGCTAATTTCGCCTAAGGCAGAAAGGTTAGATAAACGTTATAAAAAAGTAACTCTTCTTACCTGGGCATTATTTCCATTTCTCTCCCGGAAGAAGGTGTAATCCTCCTTTCCTTGACTGTACAGTAGAATATACGCTGTCAGCCATTCATTCACTGACACATCACCATATCCTTGAGTTGCTATCCCTGTTATCACCATAATGCGCCCGATTTCTACCTTAAACCAGCTACTGCTTAACTGGTCAGTGGCGGATCGATATCCCTGCGGCCAGCTTGTGATGTTTAGCCTTGCTCTATGAGGGCCAAACGTATTAAAGTCATTATGAAACGCTGACGAAGCGTGAAGCTGGCTATTTTTGATTCTACCATCCGAGATTCCCAAGGGTTCGAAGCAGGTGGCTAAAATAGTAAGAAAACAAGTTGAGCAAATATGTTTTCTTGTTTAAAACATTACAGCTTAGTCTAAATTCGAGCATCATTACCTGTAATTTCAGGTGTTTCTCTGTTGGGTTTTGCGTTGTAGCAATGAAGGAACCCGTACACGAAAGTTATGATAAATGCTCCTACAGATGCCATGCTTAGTCGGATTCCGAATGCGACATAGACAATAAACTACATAAATTATAGAAATAAATCACCAGAAGACGGCCGGCGCCAGCGAGTTCAGTTGTCGACTATCAAACATGCCGCGTTATTTTGGAACGCAGAAATGTTTTGCTGATGGTGCATATCTAATTTGACCTCAAACCACGGCATAAAGTCAATTGAGGCAAACATAACAAAAGTCTTTAACTTTGTTACAACTTTCACGGATTGAAGGGAAAAAAAGAATCGTTAAGTTTATAAATAATCCGGTAGCCAGAACTAACTGTGTCTCACGCTGAATGTCCCTGGTTGTGCGCAAACACGTGAAATGATCTTTGTTATGAAATGTGGTGAATACAATGTTACGAGTGCTATGATTGGTCGTTGTCCATGATCTATTAAAAATAAGAGCACCGACAAAGACGACGTCACCGGAAAATTGTTTCCTTTGTTTTGTCCAATCGACAATTTTAAATATGTCCACGAAATTTTTTCGAGGTTTGAAAGCCTCAGGAAAAGTTTAGAAGATGTTTATAAGAAGATCAATAATATAATTATATAAAAGAAAATGTCGAGACAAAAAGAAGCGCTGGTGACTTGGAAATCGCTGACCCTGGAACAAATTACCAACGTCATCATGACGTCAGACACATGTCAAAATGGAATCTTAAGGCCTTATTAAAAATGCCATAATGCTTTCCCCTCAAAATTTTGCATAAACATTGTTTTCAATTTGTCTTAAGACTAGCAATCGTCCCAAGAGAAACTGAAAACAATACTTATGCAAAATTTTAGAAGAAAACAATGGGTATTATGGTTTCGTTACACAGCGTGAAATACACCGTGAGACAAGAATTGCTACATGGTAGGGATTAATATTTAATACAAAGAAATTTGTTAAAGATAATTGAAGTATTCTTGACAAAAAAAAAGATATACACTACGAGTCTTTTCTTAATATTGAGACGATTCTGATGGCTGATTTGATCAATTTGAAAGCAAATAGAAGGTTTGTGATTGCAGGCACCCTTTTGTTTTCGCTCAGAGAGACTCGCGCTAGCTTGGCTTGATGTTCAGAGTTGTTTTTAAGCTTTCAAATCAATTATCCTCTGGGAATTGAAAACCTACTCCTAAAAACAACACAAACAACAACATCGACCTGTAATCTTTAATATTTGTTAACTTTCCATTCTTCTTAGTTTTAGTAAATGAAAAATTTATTCAAGTACAAGGAAAGCAATTCAAGGTTTAGGTATGAACGTTAGACTTGATAAATCAGGGGGGATGTGCGTTTTACTTCACGGACGAGTGGATTAACATCAGCGAAGTGAAGAGTGACTTAGGAGTAGATCAAGACTGACCAATATTGAAAAACTTATTAAAAAAATAGCTTAAAAGCAAGCGCAAGGCTGACAGCACAGCTGAAAAGGGAGGTTTAACAATTGGAAAATTTGACCGTGACTTGTACAAGCAAGTGACTATTAAAAAGCCCAAATCATGCAGCTATTAAAGGCTTCAGCTTTATTAGATTCCTTCCTACCGTCGATTTCATCCCAAGTCAAGGAGATGGTTAAATGGGAGTCAAGGGGAATCAAGTCGAAGATAATCTAGCATAGCTCAATCGGCCACTGAACCAGTATACTACATTATCTTCAACTTGACTCAACTCGAATAGTTAGTTCATTATAACTAGAGAGACTGTCGGTGAGTCCTTCGCAGTATACCTGTTCCAATTTTTAGGAAGAAAAGATTTTGATTTTAGCAGTGGTGGTTTTCAGCAGCAAGTGCTTAATCAAAACAGCAACAACTAAAAACAAAACAAATATCAGCGGCTGCTATTTTCTAATAGCATGAAATATAGAAACTGAAATATGAAAATTCACGGCAACTGCTAGTAGCCTAATCTTCCTCATGTTTGTGGTCGTCATGATGTTTCTTGCTCTTGCTTTTTGATTCTTCATCGCCGCAAGGGTACGTTCCACCACAGGAGGATGGCTGTACGGGATACGGCATTGGCATCGGCATCGGCATAGGCACAGGCATTGGCATGGGAGCACCGGCTCCTCCCTGACACGGAGTTCCCCCTACCGGGGCCCCGGTAGTGGCAGGTGGGAGAAGTGACGATAGGGCAGTCACCATCTGTTTAAGGCACACAGCTGCATCAACTTGCGCAACGCACGACTGGAAGCCAGCACAGACTTGATTCTGTGCACAAACAAGCAAATAAAGAAAATAATTGAATTTAATTCCAGTGTTAAGTAGTAAAATTATACAAAAAAGGAAATTTTGTTTATTTAGAACAGTAGATAAGGGGTACGTATTATTGTGTGAGGTAAAGTGAACCGCGTTGAATACAGTTGACTACCGATTTCTCGAACCCTCGTTAACTCACAAATCTCGCGTTAACTCGAACCAAAAACGATTTTTTTGTCCATACATTTATATAATTCTACCCTCGGTAACTCGAACCTCCCGCTTACTCTAAGTAATTTTTGTCTCCCTTTAGATCATTTCATATAATTTGACCCCGGATATCTCAAAACCATGTTTTGAGACAACAGTGTTCTGCCGTGGACCGGGTCCGAAACATTGAATTTATCTCAAGACAACCGTGTATGATTGGTCTTTTCTGCCAATCAACTTCTTTTTGTTCAGCCCTGTAAATGATCAATCTTTGTTACTTAATTCCTCTTTCAAATATCATTTATCTTTTGCTGGCTTTGAAGTGAAGTGTGTATGAAAATTGAACTCCGTCGCCATTCCATTTCATTATTTCCGGTTACATGCTTCGAACGCCTGTTAACTCGAACCCCTAATTAAACCTCGAACTTATTCCCTTGAAGAAGGATCGAGTTACCGGGATTCGACTGTCATTCAATACTTGGTTTATAGATGTTTAATGGAATTTCACGTTATTGTTCATGTAGAGAGTACACGAAAAAAGAAGATAAACTGTTGAAGAATTGTTGCATTGGGGTCAAAATACTTCTCTTGCATTCATTCCTTCTTTCTTCATTTTCTGCTTCTTGATGATGTTAATTTTGCCAATGTTATTATTTAAATAATAAAATGATATTAATATTATTCGTTATGCTTCATTGTCACATCACGAGTGTTATTGAATGCCTGAAAATTGTCTCTTACGATCAATATCAAGGCAAATCACAAATTTGGTAGACGAATTTAGCAGCATAAAAATGGTAAGTAGAGGTTTTGGCCTGTTCTGTTGGAAAACAAAAACATTATCTTCGAATTTACGACTACAAAATCCCTAATTGCATGTTAGAATTCTACACAGCTGTTTAATGCTCTCTTTGATTCGAAATGGTTTGGTTTTGAAATCGACAATTACCTTGGGGAGCTTGAAAAATGTGTCTATAACGTAAAATCGCTTTAATTGAGCCTGTGGGACGAAAACGATAAAAAAATCTATAGAACGCAAATGGTGCTTACAACTGCATCGCCAATCGGAATAGGAGTACCAGTGGCAGGTGGAGCAGGTGCAGGTTCTGTACCACTTCCGCTTCCGCTTCCACTGGCTCCGCTTTCTCCTCCTCCTGCTTCATCTGCCACTACAAAGCGAAGGTCAAAATAAGAACCTGTAACCAAGCCTTTTTAATATCGTCTAAACAGGCAATAAAGACCCAAGAGGAAATCTTACTAAACTCACGTTTGTCAAAAGGGTCTTCCGATAGATAACACATACTTGAAATCAGTCCGAGGAGAATGAAATTATGGAATTGGTAAAAAGCATGTACCAAAGTTATTTAGATTGTGGCGAATGGGGAGACGAAGTGTCATGGCAGTATACTGGGCTACACATGTAAATTACACTTGTAAAAGTTTTATTGAGTTGACCCCAGGCGTCAAAGGAGTTATCTATGAGACCAACGCCAACAAAAATTTTTTGAAAAAAAAGTCTTTGCATCTTATAAAGCTCGTAAGAAAATAACATTGGAGTATAAGAGAAAGAGCTAGTAGGCTATGATTAATTTGATAGGTGATTATCTCTAGTATCGGTCAAACAGAGATTTTTTTACCAGTAAAGCTTAAGGCCTCTATTGGCCTACCTAGCTCGGCTTGGGTGTTTTCCTCCACGGCGTTCTCGTCTTTGCGCACCTCGCTGTCATCGTCCTGAGGGAACAATCGAAGTTAAAATTACAATTAACAATAGCTTGTTCACTTTCTTACAAGACAGGTCTGGCCTACTCATTTCAACACATTTGGCCTCTGCTTCAAGATGAGGCGATGTTCAACTTGCCACTACATACACTGTTAAAAAAAACAACAAACAAACAAAACAAAACAAAAAAAACTCAAGCTGGTTTGGAAGTTAAAAGGAAAATAAATGTTCTTGAAAAATTTTACATACCTACCAATGTAAGAACATTCTATAAATAAAGACCAAATGATGCAATTAAACTTAAGAGTGCCATTGAACGCTTATACGTTAATGACTTTATGGCACCCCTAATCAGGGAAGTGAATGGAACTAATTGCATTAATAAAATGTTCCAGCATTATATCTATAAGTTTTAACAAAAACATTTAAAATCTTCCATTCATGTATACAAAAAAGATTCAGTCTTTGTGGAATACAAATTAAGTATCTTATGCCTGAGCAAAAAATTGAATCAATGACCTCTTTTTGAAGTATATATATATAGATCTGACATTTTAATTACGAATGTTCGAAATCAAGGTCTCACTAAGGAGACTAACAGATTCCGGGGCAAAACGACACTGTCTCGAGGTCATTTTTCAGTTACTAGTAAATAGATGGTGAACGAGGTCTGAGTGTTTCGGAAGAAAGTTCATAATTACTCATGGAATAATAACTAGAAAACAAAAACATTGCAAAAGTTCGAGAAGTCAGATTTACAGTCTGCCTGTAATTTATATAATTTAGTTGTAAAATGTTATATCTGTCATTGTTGTATTCTTCCGTTACCTCGTTAGATGGCCAAGCACGTCCAACGATAAGGAAGACTGACAAGATGGAGATAATTAGTATTATTTGCTTGATTTCCATTTTTTCTACTGTTACAATTCTCTAATCGATGGCCGCCACAGAAACTCTCACAAAGCAACGCATGAAATAATTATGCCATCTTACAGGTAGCTGAGCAAAACAAAGCATTGTGCTTTTCTGGTAGTGGAATTTATAAATGAAATGTTTCAGGATAAATAAACCTTTGGTTCTCAAAATAAATACCTCTTCAATTTTTATTTTGTTTCAAAAAGTGTTCTTGTAGTGTTACTGTGATTCAAGCGTATGTAGCTACGTAGCTAGCGACCGTAGCGGAGCACTTGATGTAGTAACTCAGTTCCTCACAGCAGCTCACCCGTACGTTGGCGACAGGCTACGGTGGAATCCCTGGTGCTGAAACCAAGTACAAAGGGACTAGCTGCAACAACTGGATCGGTGAACGATTAAGTTTGCTCTTATTACAAAGGTAAATCATATCTTCTCTGACTCACATAAAATTCCACCCTCGTTATGGACTTGAAAGGCAGAACATTGATGATGCCTGAAAAATCTCTAACGGCCGGAATTCTTGAGAATTTTTATATCAATAGATTTGCAATTACAGTGGGCTTTTATTACATAAAGTTATTAACAAGTGTCTTTGAATGAGGACGAAAGTGCTGGTTTAAAGTTTTGAATTGGTCTGGCAGACGTTTTCATGTTCGACGTGAGCTATATAGTGAAAATGTCACCAATAAAATTTATTCCATTGGTTCCTTCAAAGTCCATCGCGAACATTCTAACTCGCTTAACTTCCCAGCTATAGGCAAAATTTTTTTGACTTGTGTTGTCAGAGAACGAGCTGTAGTTCAGAATGAATTAAAAAGGAAAATAGAATATCGTCAAGAAGTGTTCACGTGTCTCATAAACATCGCATTGGGAGTTTTCACATCGTTGACAGACTAAGAGCATGTTTACATGAAGGTGGGGACCCCAGGTAGGTGTGGTAACCCGCTTAGTTGGGGTAAATAAACAAACCGCGTTTACACGCAATCTTACAACCCCGCCATCCCGGTGTGCACTTTCTCAAGATTGTTGAATGGTCGCTAAGCACGTAAACAAGAAAAATCTGGCAAACCACGTTTGCTTTGGCGATTCTTGCGCTTCTACTCTCACCTGCTGCTCTTGCTGCAACCATCAGTGCTGTGGCTTTCTATTGTTACTTTAATGATGCAAAGCAACCGCAAAAGTAAACTTTGGGCGAATTTGATTTATCTCGAATTCGACTCCGGCTAGACGGGTTACACAACCTTGAAACGTTTACATGGCAAAATTTGAGCACGGCTGAGAAGGTTACCCGGTCTGGCAGACCGGGCTACCCGCCTTGGTGGGTCACCACACCTATCATGTAAACGCAATCAAATTAAAACAAGAAACTTTATGGAGAGGCGGATTACCCCATTCATTTTGGAGCGTGAATAAAGGCTGATCCATAACCCTCATTAGCACTAGCTTGTGTCCCGGGGTGACTCCCATTTAACAGTGACGGGGATGCTCGTCGGAAAATTCAAATTCAACCCTAAGGGAGACTAATGAACTAATGTGGGTGTTGCTCAAGCTTAAACTGATCCCTAATGGAGATTTCTGTGTGGTCAGTGTCAGGGCTTTTTTGTAAATTTTCGTATGCACATTACTAAGTGATATCTGAATGGGCAAATATAGTGACTTTCCATCCCAAGACCGTAAGTGATACTAATTAAAATCTGCAATTTGCCGCCGAAAGTGAGACGACGAGCACTCCGTCACTTTTATATCGGAGTGCCCCCCGGGACTTTTGCATCGAAGTACATTCATAATATCGGCTGTGAGTTTTTCAATTCCAAAAGTGAACGGACAAACAATCTGATTTAACCCTGAAGAGCGTTCCATCTGTCTTGCCTGCTCCTTCGTATTCCGCGCCTCTTTTTCTTCCCTTGTTCCCCTCAATTTGGGACTGGGTTATCCTTTTTCTCACCCCGGGGGTCAGTGTGTCAAAACCTGAACGAAATACAATGTAATTTATAAGTGCAGGTTTTGTTTTGAGACTCTAACAATAGCTATACTTCAATTTTTATCAAAATGAACCACTGTTTTCCATTTCAGAAATTTAAGTCTCATTCCAGCAAATTTCACGGCTTTACGCCAACTATGCTGAAAGCCTTTAACAGTTCTCTTAAAATGACTTCTGTTTTACGCCAAAGTATTCTAACTGTTTATTACTTGATGATTGCTAAAGATAAGGATTTATCTTGCTTTCAGATGATAACTGCAGGTCGCAGAGTCGATTATTTTCACTTATTAGACCCTCAGTGAAAGAAGACCGATTCCCACTCAATACAACCGGCCTCTTTTAGACTAAATAGCATTTCTCCCGCAGCGTATTAAGTGAATGATATCATTTTTATTAGTCTCATATTTATCTTTCTTTAGTAACAGAACATAAGTCCCACATAACATCATTCAGAAGACTGTTGATGAATTTACAATATAGCAAACACGCATACGTTGAGAACCGCGTGAGGTGTGGTCATCGCTTAAACTGGATCAGTCTACTCGACTATCTTTTTCAATGCAAAGTCATTACGGAATTGCATAGATTCTGGGCATTTAACGCATAAACTAATCTTTCTTGGCTTTCTTGTCAAGCTTTTTCTCTTTCTTGTCATGGTGTTTCTTGCCTTTTGATCCTTTGTCTTTACATGGATAAGTTCCACCACAAGAGGCCGGTTCCATGATAACCTCAGGATACGGCATCGGCTGGGGCATGGGCATGGGCATGGGCATAGGTTGGGGCATCGGCATGGAGGCACCTCCTTGACAGGGGGCTGCCCCAACAGGTGCACCTCCAGCACCTCCACTTAATGATGATAGGGTCTGCAGCATTTGTTGAAGGCACATGTTGGGGTCTCCTTGAGCAGCGCATGCTTGGAAGGCAGCGCACGCTTGATTCTAGAGGGATTAAAGCAAAGCCAAGATCTACGTTTGTCACATAAAGAAGTACACAAGTGATCATATATTCTCACAAGCCTTTCGTCAAAACTATGTTACTACTAACACTTGCCAGATATCATGCCACGGCCAAGTTCATGAACCTACTTTACGCGCACTTAACTATTACCGAAGTAACAAATATATATGAATCAACCCATACTAGACCTACAGGATGATGAATTGAATGAAATTAAAAGAAGATAGGATCATCACAGTTATAGACCAAACGTTTGCCAGCAGCCAGTTGGCCTGTTACACTCTGTAGATTACTTGGCGAGAGTGCTCCATCGTTATGGTATGGCAACAACATCGAACTTTATTTGCATGACCATACAAGCACATACAGTAAATGCAAAAGCTATGTTTAGGAATCAAAATTACAACACAGGGCAATTACGTTGCTTTGATAATAATTTGTCACGAACATCAAAACAAGCTGAAATATATTAATTGGTGAAAGGTTCAAATCCCGTACAAGCCTGATTTTTTAGGCTTTCGTCTCGCAACTGCAAAAGTTGCGAGCACAAAAACACAGAATGCAGGATTTCTCTCACCGAGACAAAGAATCTCACCATTTTGTGGTCTAAGAGCGAAAGGGTTCGAAAATCTGGCCGGGCTCCATGTCTGACCATATAATGTGCTACATAATGTGGATAAGACTTTAAAGCCACTTACAACAGCAGCGACAATTGGATTGGCACCGGCTGGGGGAGCTCCTCCGGGGGGTGGTGGTACTCCTGCGTTTGGCGGCGGTGTTCCCCCTGCAGGGGGTGGCGTGGTAGCACCAGCAGCTGGTGGGGCAGTGGTGGGCTCAGCAGCACTTCCACTCTCTCCTCCTGCCGCATCTGCAAGGCAATGATAATGATAATAATGATGAAGGTGGGTGGTGATGGTGATGATGATGTTGATAATGATGCTGGTAATAATAGTGATAACAATGTTGATAATGATGATGATAATAATAATGTAATGATGNTATAATGTGCTACATAATGTGGATAAGACTTTAAAGCCACTTACAACAGCAGCGACAATTGGATTGGCACCGGCTGGGGGAGCTCCTCCGGGGGGTGGTGGTACTCCTGCGTTTGGCGGCGGTGTTCCCCCTGCAGGGGGTGGCGTGGTAGCACCAGCAGCTGGTGGGGCAGTGGTGGGCTCAGCAGCACTTCCACTCTCTCCTCCTGCCGCATCTGCAAGGCAATGATAATGATAATAATGATGAAGGTGGGTGGTGATGGTGATGATGATGTTGATAATGATGCTGGTAATAATAGTGATAACAATGTTGATAATGATGATGATAATAATAATGTAATGATGTTGATAATGATAATGATGTTGATAATGATGATGGAGACGACGGTAATGATTATGATGATGATGATGATGATGATGATGATGACAATGATAAAGATAATATTGACGATAATGACTGCAATTCAGGTTAACGATTTCGATAATTATAGTTCATTCATATACTTCTTCTTTCCTGATTGGCTTAAACCCCCAGGCTAATTTTTCCTAACTAGTAAGCGTTAACCAATTTGGAAGGGGTTTGCCTTGATGCCAGATGTAATGATAGTTGACAGAAAAGGGGACAGCAGAGGGCACGGTAGCTGAGCGGTTTTGCCAGACAATATTCGGGGAGGAAAAGGCAGACGTAAGACTCGATGGATGAAAAATGCTATCTGAAGAATATCTGCTACAATAAACATCCCTTAATACAGTCGAACCTCCCATAAGTGACCACCCAAAATGCAAAGAGGTGTTCGCTTGCAAGAATCGAACCGCAGGGTTCTCTTCCCAGAAGAGGTCTGGGAACATCTTCTTTATGGAAGATAATTTATGGTACGCCATGTGTAGTTCCACGTTGTTGGTAATGTATGTCGTTTATTCTAAGTAGCATAGCGCACAGAGCGAACATAGAATGCGTCAAATGGTCGCTAACAAGCGCTTAAAAACAATGGAAAATTGTTAAACTTTCAGGCCCAAAAAGTGGTCGCGGTCGCTTACAGGAGGTGGTCGTTTACCAGAGGGTCCAACTGTAAGGCTTTGACTGGGAAAATTTTGTTTTTTTGGATAGGCGGTCGCCTAGGGAGGTGGTCGCTTACGAGGGGTGGTCGCACATGAAGGTTCGACTGTATCTACAAACTGTCGAGGACCAGAGAATATTAAGAAGACGAGAACTTTACATAGATCGAGATAAGTAGATTTTTCTGCTACCGTATGATATAAANTGCCGCATCTGCAAGGCAATGATAATGATAATAATGATGAAGGTGGGTGGTGATGGTGATGATGATGTTGATAATGATGCTGGTAATAATAGTGATAACAATGTTGATAATGATGATGATAATAATAATGTAATGATGACGATAATGATAATGATGTTGATAATGATGATGGAGACGACGGTAATGATGATGATGATGATGATGATGATGATGATGACAATGATAAAGATAATATTGACGATAATGACTGTAATTCAGGTTAACGATTTCGATAATTACAGTTCATTCATATACTTCTTCTTTCCTGATTGGCTTAAAACCCCAGGCTAATTTTTCCTAACTAGTAAGCGTTAACCAATTTGGAAGGGGTTTGCCTTGATGCCAGTTGTAATGATAGTTGACAGAAAAGGGGACAGCAGAGGGCACGGTAGCTGAGCGGTTTTGCCAGACAATATTCGGCGAGGAAAAGGCAGACGTAAGACTCGATGGATGAAAAATGCTATCTGAAGAATATCTGCTAAAATAAATATCCCTTAATACAGTCGAACCTCCCATAAGCGACCACCCAAAATGCAAAGAGGTGGTCGCTTGCAAGAATCGAACCGCAGGGTTCTCTTCCCAGAAGAGGTCTGGGAACATCTTCTTTATGGAAGATAATTTATGGTACGCCATGTGTAGTTCCATGTTGTTGGTAAAGTATATGTCGTTTATTCTAAGTAGCATAGCGCACAGAGCGAACATAGAATGCGTCAAATGGTCGCTAACAAGCGCTTAAAAACAATGGAAAATCGTTAAACTTTCAGGCCCAAAAAGTGGTCGCGGTCGCTTACAGGAGGGGTCGTTTACCAGCGGTTCCAACTGTAAGGCTTTGACTGGGAAAGTTTTGTTTTTTTTGGATAGGCGGTCGCCTAGGGAGGTGGTCGCTTACGAGGTTCGACTGTATCTACAAACTGTCGAGGACCAGAGAATATTAAGAAGACGAGAACTTTACATAGATCGAGATAAGTAGATTTTTCTGCTACCGTATGATATAAAGAAATTACTCTTGAAATCAAGAACTATATTATCAAACAGGATCTTGATGGTAATAAGTATTCTTGCATCGTCACCTCTCCGTAGAGGTTTCCTGAACGCGCGATGTATTTATTCTGATCTCAATTATTCTAACTTTGCCCGTTGCAAATAGCCTACTCGCTTCGACGGTTCTCTAGACTTTAAAAAACAAAAAAAACAAAAACAAAAACATGCTACTAATTGCCTAAAAGGGTAACTCTTAACTAAGGCGAGTTAAACTGAACTTACCTTGTTCCCTGTCGTCATCGTCTTCACGCTTCTGGCGCTCATCCTGATGGGACGAGGGTAGAGATTATATTTAGACTGGGCCAGTTACTCAGGAGTTGGGAGGTTGTTTAACACATTACCGCTTTCTAAACAATGTCTAAACCATTTTTTAATCAGCCCTAATATCTATCCCTGATTGCTGTTCATTACAAAGAATTCTCACTGCTCGTGATAGAAGACCACTTATTATAATCATCACTACTTCTTCACAATGGTTTTCCGAACATATTAGGGCTGTTTAAAGGTATGATCATGCACTACAGTTTGCTCTGTGATGTAACGTGACCCTCTTAACCTCGTTCACAGGGCACTCCCCTTGAAAACTGTGAAGGAAAAGCCCTGGGAACTAGATGACCTCCTTTTTGAGTTACACTTGTATGTATCCTTCCCAGTGCTTTGGTGTCGTGAAAGCGAAGCTTAATGAGATAATTTGACAAAGCGAAATAACGAAAAAAAGACAGTCAATGAATTTGACAGAAACTTATTGCCAGAAATAAATCGTTTAATGGAGCGTGGAGATGAACCATTAAAACTTTGATTCAGAGAAGCAAGTCGTGTTTGTTTCGCAGAACGAGCACTAAAAGACCTAAAATATTAATAGAAATTGGCTGGTTAAGAAATTTCCTGAAGTAAGAAGTAAAAAAGCTAAGAGAATTTTTGATTTTCTCTGTTAAAAACAATATACTACACACTGGCTTTTAAGAACACTTTATCTAACTTTTTTGAGTTAATTGTGGAAGAAAAGGGTAAGTCTATCAAGGACGAACTTGCATGACTTTTCTCTCGCCGATATGAGATAACACAAGATAATTTTACCACCGTATATCACTGAATTTACGGTTACAACTTTGATTTGAGTTAAAGTTTTACCGACGTGATTTTAAACACCCCGATATTTCAGCTGTGAAACACGGAAAGATGAAAGAAATAAAAAGTAGCATAGCCCGAGCTGGTGCTAATTCCGCAGAATTTAGTAGGGATCGAAAAGTTTTTAAAACATGTTTCTTTTCGTTTCATATGTTATATAAACATCGTCTAGGATGCAGCAGGAAATTGAAGCCTGTTTTAAGGAGACCAAATGAGAGGCTTCAGGCCCAAACTCCAGGATGGCGAAAATCTTAAATAAGTTAACTAAAAAAAAGTTTCTTCTTTTACCTCTGAAGGTCGAGCATGGGTGAAAACGAGTAAAGCGGACAAGATAAGGAAGATCAAGATTCCTTTCAGCTCCATTGTTTCGTCTACTTCGAAAGTTACTAGTTGGTAAGTAAGAAAATTATGGCTAAAACGAAATAGACAAAGAACAGCATGAAATAATTATGTCATTTTGCAGGTTCAACTAGGACGAGAACCAGCCGAGCAAATAGCGTATTCGACAAACGTGCTCTACAGGTGGAGAGAACAAACCTGATCACGGGTGGCTTGCAAATGATTGAAAACCAAGCTTTGTTTCTTGTATTGCCCCCCATAATCTTAAAAACAAAAAGGGTCTGGAGAGTTACGATTTGTTAAAAACAAGATTCATCGGTGATTATTGCGTGTTATTATTAGGATTTGCACACAGCTAGTTTATGTCAACACGACTCTGCTCAAGTGTTAATGTTGTGATAAACACATTACGACCTTATGGGTTGATACGTAGGGCGACCTCATAGTGTCCGACCGTGAACGTTCTTTCTTGGACGGCCGTAAGTGAACGCCGGCATATCTACCTTAATTTGGATCACTGCATTTGCTCGGATTACTAAAGGAGAACTTTACTTAGATCGCAGAGGTTGACTTTAATTAATTCCTCAGCGTCCGCAGCGATTGACTATTAGTTTTCTCTTGACGATTCCATTTTTTAAGTCCTGGTATAACTAAGCGGAAAAATTAAACTTTGAAAGGCAAAGGAATGTTGTTTCTTTTTCTAAGGAAGTACGCAGAAAAGGAGGGGGATCAAGAAGATATGAATTACCAGCTCTATAGATAACACCTATTATTGGTTTTGTAATTTCGAAATACACTTTTATGAAACCTTTTAAAAAGGCGATAAATCAGGACAATGTGTCAGTAGTGCAGGTGAAAGTTAGAGTATCTGTGCGTCGCCCCTTTCCCTCCCTCTCTCTGAATCAAATGGCAGATTTTTCTAGTGGTTTTTGCATATACAGGAACCAACCTGTGGCAAGGAAAACTTCACAATAAATCATTCTCCTTTTTGTCCGCCACTCTTGGGTAGTTCACGAAAGCGCAAGTTATCACGCATGCGCACACCATTTTAGATATAACCAAAAGGTTAGTGGACTCTTATCAGAACATGGTTTAAAAGTTACCCAGTCTGTTCCAGTAGATCATTTTAAGTCAGTCTATTATTATAATATTGATTTAAAATAAAATCGATCGCCACAACACGGGACACGGGACAGGGGAACGTTCACTGAGTAAACTGTAGACCTTTTTACGGCGCGGTGTGGCGCCGGTCAAGGCATCCAATGTTAATTAAGGAAGAACATTACTAGAAAGCTTAGCAAAACTCGGCTCCTTTGAGAACGGATCGATGAGCGTTATTGCGAATAAATGTACAAGCCATCATCAGCGCAGTGTTTTCATGGACCGTTCTCGAAATTATGCATGGCTTGTAATGATTTGTTTTATGCTTTTATAAAAGTCAAGCTTCGTGGTTATAATGGCTGTTGTCTGTTAGATGCAGTTTCTTTCATTGATTTGGCCTTGTTTGAACGTTAGGCCTATTCCGTGGTTTGAGGAACACATCGTAAAAAGGGGAGACACAGTAAGGCGTGTATAGATAAATGCATCCAAAGAATGGTTTTCAGTAACGATGGAGTGGATCAGAGATCCATTCGAAGTTATAAGAGCGCTTTGATCTTGTGAAAATGACACATCGGAGTCGCACCCGCTCCAGAACATGTAGCCTGCGTAGCAAGCGTTTCCATTTGGTTTCGCCTCTCCGCTCTTTTACTTGCGCCATTTTTCGCGCGGTCTTTGACTCGCGCTCCTCGTTCTTTGCTCCTAAACCGCACGGAAACGCTTGCTACGCAGGCTAGAGAACATGTAAGGAAAGCTTTCGTCGCTAAGATTTCTGGGATCGTTTGGGAGGGCAAGCGTTACTTAATTATTGTTAGTGGTTGCCTTGAATAGCATCGACGATTACTAACACTTGTCTACCCAAACAATCCAAAGAACTACACTTAAGCTTCTACCCATTCTCCCTAGAGTCAGAGACGCAAAGGTATCTTTGCAATTTACCTTTTCCTTCCGACTCCCTCTTGTGATTCCGTCGTTTCTAAACAGGGGCACCCAACAACGCGTACCTCCTAATAAATACATTGTAAACACTTTATAGGCTGTCCAGAGTACTTTTACATATCTAGGAATACAATCTAAGCAGCGCTATAAAGTTTTTTATCTGTTCGGTCATCAGGGGAACTTGAGCCTTCAAAATTACAAGGGCTACAGACAGTATTATCTTCCCAAAATTTTAGATGCAAATTAACGTTTTACGAAAGTGAAAATTGTTCTATTTTCCTCTCTCCGTTACATTTTTGAATCGGATAATTTTAGGCGTCCTTTTTCTACGAAAAATAGCCCAACATTGGGACTGAAATATGAAAAAATAAAGTCCAGAAAATGGCAGAAAATTTGCTAGATACGCTTCGAAAAGTGTGCATAATGGAACGTGCATCTAGAAATTGTTAGCCGTCCTAAACCAAGAGAAAATTCAGTAGGCCACGTTTGCTCTTCCGAACGGATATTCTTTACGGAAAACAGGCGTTGGGTGCCCCTGTCTAAATCAGCGAAAATTATCTAGATTGTCGAAACCGGGCGTAGTAATCGGTTTGGAATTTTCTCTTCTTCTAGTTGCGACTCCCAAAATATGGTTTTCGCTAGATCATAGCACAAAGCTCTTAAATGAATAAATAGAAGGAATTAAAACCTTACTTCGGTGCTAAATGTATCAAGTTGTGCACAAATATACAGGTTCTAAAACAGACTAAAACAAATAAGTCAGCATTAATTATAAAATTAGTACTTTCCTCAAATTATCAGTAACAGTCTAAGGCCTAAGCCAAACATCGAACTCTTCATGAGACGAACCAAACATTAATTATAGTGAGTTAAATTGGAGTTTGTATGATAACGTATATTTACGCCTCGTTCGGGAGAAAATTTACCTTGGTGGGCTAAAATTACTTTTTGGTTTGATTCAGTTGGTTGGCTCGACCTGTCCTAAGTTCGAGGTCGACCCAAATTAGAGTTTAGTTCGTCTCATGAAAATTTAAAACACTGCTAATTTCAATATCATAACAAAATGATTCTGATATACCTTAAAATTACAACCAGCGTAGGTCACAACCGGTCTCTGTTGTTTTCTAAAATACGGAGGGAGATATTAGGCAATTTCTGTCAATACCGTTCTTGAAAGATTGAAGACTGCTATGGGTGATGCCTTTGTCTCTGTTTTCTCTAGTAGAGACCTAATCCAGTAGAAAAGAGGCGAAAGTTTACCATAGTCTTACAGAGCCAAATGTAGGCGAATTAAGGTGACTCGACCCAGTTATTTTTGGGGGGTACTACCCTACTTTGAAGCACTCTGGTTTCCCCACCTTTACTTTTATCGTAAGTCTAACACATAGAATGGATAACATATAGATCAATCTACAATGTAGCATAAAATTTTTGGCGATCGGAGTAAATGTCAAGTGGTTGTAGTGCCACGCCCTTTGAGGTCTGAGTCGAAATTCTGCTGTTGCGGGCATTTTTTCGTAAAAATCTCTCGGCTACACATAGTGCGCATTAATGCCTTCCGCTGAACAGAGTTTCACCAAAATCGCAAAGACCCAATGCGAGAAATTGAGTGGTTTCCAAATTTAGGTCATAATTTATGCGAAAATGATAAGCAAACTTTACACGATTATATCTAATAAACTGTGAGATTTATTCCTTTGTTTTGGGGATCTTTATAACAGATGGGTCCTTGCAAGTCAGCAAAAAGATTTAGGGCCTTGTAAATGCGCGCGATTTTGAGCAATGCAAACATATACAAACTATAGTTTTAGCTATTTGTTGACGTTTGTCAGCGTTTAAGAGTCCTTCTCACGCAAAAAGCATTTTCTTAAAAATTCGTATTTTTTTTCCTTCAAATTTTATCAGGGCCACAATTAATTAACGAACTACCCGGATTCTGAATTTCATGATCATTGAAAAACTTTGACATTATCTTCTATAAGCCCAAACTTGAGTTAACATTGAAGATTTTTAGCGTTTTGGCTAAGTTTGTGCTTTGGGAGTTTTCTGTTGTTTCTAGTCTGTCATGATACAACATTCTTGTTCAGCACGCGTGCAATGACCGCGCTTGGCTGACTTCCGACTTGACTTTCTATTCTCTTGGACACCAGAGTTGTGTAACAGAACCAAGTAACATTGTTTCTGTTAAAAAAAAATTCACAAATACCATAAAAATGGCTTCTCACCTCAGGACGTTTCGGGAATACCATAAAAATGGTTGAAGGACTTTTGCCAGTGATACTGCTTATGGTGCAGTTTGCAAGTAATTCTAATAAAAGAAATGAGTAAATATGCCCCCCTTTGTGAGTGTAAATTTGGGGTTTGAACCAGCGGCCTCCAGCTCGCAAACCGTCGCTTATTCATCAATTATGGAAAGCTAACTGGGTGGCTGGGTGTTCCTGGTAGTTTTAGGAAGTTTTGAAACTTAGCACAGCTAAAATGTGACCTAGAAAAATACCTCAGTGAGGCTATGCAAGATGTTTTAGCTATGTACGGTAAAATGTGTTTTTCGTGTATGATTTTTTTGATGGTCTGACCTCGAAAAACCTCTGCCACAATATTGGCATATGAAAGGTTTTTCACCAGTGTGACATCGATAGTGGCGTTTTACTTCGTCAGAGCGACGGAACCGCTTTCCACAACACCGCCAAGGACATAAATATGGTCTTCCTGTGTTGCCCTCTTGGCGGCAGAACAAATACGACTCTTGAAAGAATTCATTCGAGCGCCGATTGGAGATGATACTGAATGGCATTGGGCTTATAGGAAACGTTTGCGGTGAATAATCTAAACTATGGCTTTCCGTGATTGGGGTTGTTGCTGCATCTTGCTTTTTTCTTTCCCAGATGTATAAATAATCGCCCTTTTGTTGCAAATTTGTGCTATTATCCATTGTTATCAAAGTGCTTTTTTTTGATGAATTTTTTATGTTGTAGCTATTGATCAGTATATGATTATCAGCGCCCTTTCTTTCAAAACCACTCGATTCTTGTTGCTCGCCATCTGGATCTGTGTAGCTTGCTTCAAGCCCTATTTTAAAGCGTTTTCCTTCAGGTTCTAAGTTAAGTTTTTGCCTTTTCGGTGTATGCGATTCCACAAGCAGCCTTGTTTGACCCGCCCTAAGAAGATGCATCTCGGGCTGCTGCCCAACGCCATTCTCTTCGTGTTGCTCGGCGTATGGGTAGATGTAGCTTAATGCCCGCCCTATTTTAAAGCTTCTTTCTCCAGGGTCGAAGCTAGATTTCTGTTTTTTGCTTGTGTGCGATTCCACACCCAGCTTTGTGTTCCCTGTCTTAAGAAGATGCTTCTCCGGCTGTTGCCTAACAACATTCACTTCGTGTTGCTCGACATCTGGGTAAATGTAGCTTGCTGCCAAACCTATTTTGAGGAGTCTCTCTTCAGGTTCCATGCTAAATTTTTGTTTTTTCTTTGTATGCGATTCCGAACTTAGTATTGTGTTCCCCGCCTTAAGGAGTTGCATCTCGGGCTGTTGTCCAGCGTCATTTACTTTCTTTGTATGTGATTCCGAACCCAGTCTTGTGCACGTGTTCTCCGTCTTAAGGAGTTGCATCTCGGGCTGTCGCACAGCGCCCCTTATTGGATAAATAAGAGACGTCCCTGTCATTCTTAAGGGCAGATCTTCAACATTGCTGTTATTACCCAAGAAATCAGAGTAATTTGATTCATTGGGTAATGCTCCTACAAATGAATATCCTTCATGTTGTTGATGAGTTCTGTTGGCTGGATACTCCCGCTGAGAACTGTTATTTGCTGTTTTTGCAGTAAAGGTTCCTACACCAGACAACTGTTTACCCTGCCTTCGATGACGCTTGCCAGGCTCCTTTAGATGGGATTCGTCGTGTGTTGTTTTCATGTTTTCAAGGTTGTCTAACTTCATTTCCAACAGGCTGCATGATTTAGATAACTGACAGCCATTCGTTTTGGAGGAATAATAAACATTTTGTACTAGGATGCAAGGTTCCCATTCTCCTGGAACGTTTGAACGAGTAAAATTTGAGGAAAGGATTGTTTCTGGAAAAGTGAGGCTTTTATACTCTTCGTTCACTACAGCTTTGAGAAAATTTTCTAATTCGGTTTCGCAGGACGAAGAACCCACGGTACTCTCTTTCCTTCTTCCCTGTAGTCCGCTAGCCATTTAGATAAAGGAAAGCTTGATTTCTAAAATAGTCAAGGCAAAAAACAAAGATTATTGATGCAAAGATCTCAAGAAATAAGAAATCCTCATCGGCCTTGTGGAGCTCATTGCAAGTCCTTTATGCGGGATGCGTCCACTAGGCTCCAAGGGGAAAGTTCATTTGCTTAATGAAGGCCACTTTTGTTTGCGCCATAGACGACGTCAAATTTGAAGGGAAGTCTTAATTTTCTTTCTTTAGTTAATCTCCACTAGCACTGGTTAGCAGGGGCAGATAAAGGGGTTAATGGGTTACGCTTTCAAAACTTTCATTGAAATGGGAATTGTTAGTGCTATATAATAAATTCCAAGTAATTTTTATGATTGTTGGGAATACAAAACATAACTGTAGACCGTTAACACTGTTTATGCAAAATCGTGATAGAGCGGTTTCTGGAACCAGCCCTCCGGCTACGAACAATACTTATCTACGGTCATCAAGTGATATATGTGTTAATTAAAACACTTCAGTCTGCTGATTTTGACTCATAATCAAGTTGATTAATCATACGGTGCTATGAATGGGGCTATCGCTATCTAAATAAGCGACCTAACGAAACTGCACAAAGTTCTCTCATTATTAAATACAAATAAACTGTTGCCTTATCATGCTTGAGCTGAAAATATTGCAATCACCTCCTCGAAAACGATTCTACAGGGAAAGGTTCCAGCTGAGTTGCTTGTTAGCCTAGTATGTATTAATAATAACTTTGTCGTTGTCGAGTTTCTCGCTCTGTTTTTAAGTAAAACCTTACTTAGCTTGTTTGTTAAACATACCTGCTTGTACTGTACGTTACCATGAAACTTCAAAGTAAAGGAAAGGACGGCTATCGTAAGATCAGTGCTTCTTCTTATTCAGACCGCAAGGCAGTCTTCTTTACAGAACACCACTCTCTTCAAAGATACTCTAAAAGTGAACAGTATAGTGGGGTCCTTTCAAGCCAAAACAAATACTAGACTAATAAGGTTAGCTGCTTAACCAAGGGGCAGATCCTGTTTGTGTAACAATTTGCTAAATACGACCCTTAACGCCACCTCGGGTCCTTTTGAAACTTTATAATTTATTATTTTCTTTGATGTTCCGAACGCGACAAAGAAGAAAGGAGAAGTCTGCACGTAAGCTCGTTACGCGTCTTTGAAACACTGAGCATAGACGATGCTAGAATCTTTCATTACAAAAATAACTACATAAATAAGTAATAGCAAATAAAGTGAGTGATTTTGTGGTCAAGTTAGCCTTTTGATGCTACCCCTATTATTATTATTATTATTATTATTATTCGTTTTTATTAAAAGGATGGTTAGGACGTAGTTAGTAGTTCTATGGTTAGGATCACAAAATCAGGTTTCATTATCAGGGCGCCCTTGATTGGCCGCGTATTTGGAATAAGAATAAGCAGAAAGTTTGTTACAATTTACGTCTACCGTGATTGCTATTAGACCTCTGAAATGCTACAAGCATCTTAGAACGCACCTTTACAATTCTGTTCATCTCAACCACGATTTTTCGCTCAACTGATTTCATCAGCCGAATTGGGTGGCCACAACTGGACTCACGCGACATCAAAAGTAGCCGAAACCACCAAACAACAGTCTGGCGAATGTAAAGAGAAAAATCTACATTTTTGGCTCACTAGTCTTAGAATTAGCTTGGAATTGAAATAGAAGACGACTTTCTCTTCAATCTCTGGCGAAAAATAAGCTACACCTCAAAGGCAGGTAATTTACTTATTAATTAATTTTGTTTGGTATCAGAAGCTAGGAGCGAGTGCGGCAGTACATACATCTGTATACCCATTCAAAATGACTTCTTTGCTCAGTACGATCGATTGTATAGGAAGAAATTGAAACACTTGTATTGAACATGAGAGATTTTACTCTTTGTGGCTTGACAGTTTACGATACACTTGAGTGGACAGCTTTGCATACGTTAAGGTATCATCCAGAGTAAAAACATCATCATTTTTCGAAATTTTCAATTTTTACATGATAAAGTAGAGCTCAAGAGAGCTTTCTTTAAAAAAAAAAATCCTAGGAAAAAAATGTTTTTTCTGTGCAAACTTATGGAACGCAAAAGTTTTTTCTATGATAATTATATTAATTGATCGTTGACAAGTCCTGTCACACTTGATACGCATGCCGCTTTTGAACCAAGCTAATCACTCAATTTGACAGAAATAGTGGTCTACAAGAATAGTGGTCACTGTTTTTCCCTGGGTTTTGGAAGTGAATGCCTCCAAAGAAGATAAAAGAGCTTGTCCGTTTTCGTCCTTGACTCCAAGACGAAAGAAGACGACAAAATCGTTTTGCAAAGTGTGGGCTTCGAAATTAGCAGAGACGGACAAGGGCTCCTACTACAATCAAGCAAAAAATGTCGAAAAGATGACAAAGCTTCTGAAAAACCCGTTGAAACTACCGCGAAATCGAATTTCACGAGTTTCTTAGCGAGCGGAGGGAGCTTTTTAGGCCGCGAAGCGCCCAAGCGAGCGAAAAATTCGCGACAGGTCCCGCGCCATATAAAAATCGGACGAAGGACTTTTTTGAAAGTCTATTGTAACGGGAGAGCAGCTTCAAGAAAAACTCCAGGAAGCGGTTTGTTGTCGATTTTTCCCGAAGTGTCGAACTTTTAGAAAATGTATCGAGTAAAAGTTGGCTGGCTCAAAATGAAAACTGCCCGTCGCAAATAACTAATGATGCTTTCTCGACAAAGAGCAGAGCGTTTGGGCCAGATGGAAAACAGGGATTGCACTCTGGACTGGACTGGACTCTCGACTGGACTGGACTCGGGGGTAATTTTTTTTTTT